GTGTAGAGGCGCTCTTGGGCGCTGGTGCGCTCTGTGTGTAACGGGGGCCAGGGGGGGCTTAGGGACCCCGGTGCGCGCTGCGTGTAACAGGGGCCGGGGGGCTTAGGGATTCCCGGTGCGCGCTGCGTGTAATGGGGCCAGGGGGGGCTTAGGGACCCCGGTGCGCGCTGCGTGTAACAGGGGCCGGGGGGCTTAGGGATTCCCGGTGCGCGCTGCGTGTAATGGGGCCAGGGGGGGCTTAGGGACCCCGGTGCGCGCTGCGTGTAACAGGGGCCGGGGGGCTTAGGGATTCCCGGTGCGCGCTGCGTGTAATGGGGCCAGGGGGGGCTTAGGGACCCCGGTGCGCGCTGCGTGTAACAGGGGCCGGGGGGCTTAGGGATTCCCGGTGCGCGCTGCGTGTAATGGGGCCAGGGGGGGCTTAGGGACCCCGGTGCGCGCTGCGTGTAACAGGGGCCGGGGGGCTTAGGGATTCCCGGTGCGCGCTGCGTGTAATGGGGCCAGGGGGGGCTTAGGGACCCCGGTGCGCGCTGCGTGTAACAGGGGCCGGGGGGCTTAGGGATTCCCGGTGCGCGCTGCGTGTAATGGGGCCAGGGGGGGCTTAGGGACCCCGGTGCGCGCTGCGTGTAACAGGGGCCGGGGGGCTTAGGGATTCCCGGTGCGCGCTGCGTGTAATGGGGCCAGGGGGGGCTTAGGGACCCCGGTGCGCGCTGCGTGTAACAGGGGCCGGGGGGCTTAGGGATTCCCGGTGCGCGCTGCGTGTAATGGGGCCAGGGGGGGCTTAGGGACCCCGGTGCGCGCTGCATGTAACGGGGGCCAGGGGGGGCTTAGGGACCCCGGTGCGCGCTGTGTGTAACGGGGCCCGGGGGGCTTAGAGACCCCCGGTGCGCATTGCGTGTAATGGGGCCCGGGGGGGCTTAGAAACTATGGTGCGCGCTGTGTAATGGGGGAGGGAGCCAGCAAAGGAGACTCATAGGCGGAGCAGGGGGCAGCACTGGCCACGGCCTGCTTGGGTGGAGACAAAACCCTGTTACACAGTCACGGCCCTCGGCGCGGGACCAGCCAGGTCTTCCTGAGCCAGAACAGGCAGCATTCGGAGCCACAGCTGCTCATCACTTTTCAGCTTCAGCCAGGCTTCTTATCTGGAAAGCTAAAAACCAGCCCGAGGGCAGCCTGAGGAGGCCGTGGGTCCTTGGGAAGGGGCAGGTGGCAGAGGAGGTGGTGGAGACCATCTTGTGTGCACCAGGCTGGTCAGAGCGGTACTAGAGTAACAGGCTTTCCTCCCTACCCCAGAAAAGTTGCAGAGAGGATGGAGTCGAAGTAGATTAGCCTGGATGTCCTGCCCTTGCGTTGTCCAGGAGAACTGCCCCTATCTTAGCTTGAGAATGGGGCAGGCGCAGGATGGGACACTGAGCATCTTGGTGGAGTAGAAGCTTTTGGTGGAGACAAAATCGCGTTGCATTTGTAACCCTCTCAGTTGCGGTAGCAACCATCTGCAAGTGGGCCAATGCAGTCTCATCTTCCTAAGCCTGAGCAGGCAGCATTAGTGCTGCCCTGGCTACTCTTAGCTTTTCCCAGCTTCAGCAAGGTTGAAGGAAGAAGCTAAAAATCAGCTCTTACTTCAATCATCCTGAACAAGCTTTGAGCATCAGTAGAGACATTCATGGGAGAGGAGGGATCAGAGACCGTCCTGTGTGCACCGAGATGGTCAGAGCAGCGCTAGCGTAACAGACTTCTCCCCCCTTGGAAAAGTCCTAGAGGGGATGGAGTAGAAGTAGAGCAGTTGGGACATCCTGCCCTTGCAGCTACCAGAACTGCTCACCTCTAGCTGGTTCTGTCCAACTGCTCGTAGCTTGAGGATGCGGTAGAGCCTTCGAATAGATTATTTGTTGATATAACTTGGTGGAAACCTGTGCGCTTTCTTCTGTCCTGGTGGTCACCACATGTAGAGCTGATTCTTTTGCTGGGCTGCTTCCCTGGAAGCACTCCCTCCAAATCATTTGTCTCTCACTTTGGGAAGTAAGTTCAGCTCCCCAGCAGACAGCCTTCTGTCAGAGTTCACTCTGGTGGCTCAGTGAATTGCACTACTCTGGAAATGGCAGATACATGGCAGCAAGTTAGAAATTGATGATACTTTTAGTTCTTGATACTGTCTAGGCTCAGTGATAAGCCATAGGATTTGCACCACTTTAATAATAAGCAAAGGGTGTGTGCTTAGTATGAAGACGTATCTAACATTTTTAGGCTGTATATTTGTTTTTTTCTGCCAGAACAAGTTACCCCTTATACAAATTTAATATCATTTATACTAATCCTACCAGCTAGTCCTAACAAACCAGACCTACCAGCTAGTTTTTAACAAGTATTAAAAATGATAGGTCTTTCAGTGATTCATGCTTTGGATCTGTGGTGTAACTGAGTCTCAGCTACTTGTAGTTTTTAATTGCTGTCGATTTACTGACTTATAGAGATCATGCTAGTGTCCAAGATAAGATATGCTAGGTGTGTTCCAAAGACAGCAGTTTTAGCTCATCGATCTATACACTGCACTGTGCTTACAGATGACTTTACTGTACTGCCTTTGCTGTTTGCTTCTGAAATTGGCCATCTGAGTGAGCTGCCTGTTCAGAGTTTTTACTTCAGTTAACTACACACTACACTGTGTACTGGTACTCTGCCCTCCTTGTAAGCGAGCACAACAGCTGTTTGATTAAAAATCACTGGTAAAAACTGAGTTAAAGAAACGCTAAGTGGCGTTCAAAGGCAGAATTCCTCAGCTAGATTTCTACCTTTTCAAGGGCTCCTCCTCATTCCCTAGTGTAGTTCTATGGCCTCCATCCTTCTCAAGCTATCTTGTTACCTATATGGAAACTCCCTTCGCTTAGTTTCATATTCTAGCCCCCCCACTCCCCACTCATATTTTTCTTTCTTTCTTTCTTTTTTTTTTTTTAATTAGGAGGAGGGGAAAAAACTGGGTTTGAGGATTGAGATTCCTGAACTTGGTTCACAACTCATTTTATGAGCTGTGAGTAGTTTCACTTCGCTTGACTCTGTTTCTTCATCCGTAATATATGGATGCCTGCTCTTGTCTGCATATGCCTTACAGGGTTGTCATGAAGTCTACTGAATGATTGCAGAGCACTTGGGGCACCTGTAAACATGCAGCGAGGCTGCACTGTACTAAAATGGGGGAAATGTATTGTAAGGAGAAGTAGATATGTTTTCCTTCTGAACTGATAAATGACCAGGGATCCTGGTTTTCTCTGATTAAAAAAAAATCCCCATTTTTTTAATTAAAATAGTAACCCAAAATCCAGACTTTTTCCATGATCAAAAGTGTTTCATTTTGGGGGGGCGGGGGTTTATCAGAAAACCCAGGATCCCTGTAAATGATTCTCTTAGCCATTCAGGAGCCTCTTTCTGTACCCAGTCTCCATGGTGTGGACTATGCTCCATCCCCAACGTCTCCATTTGTTTCTGGCTTGTAGCAGATGCTAGAAATCAAAATCTGGAATGTGGCTGCATGTGTTCAGTTGCACTCCTGCCGAGAGTATGTGCTATCTGTTGTCCAGAGTTAGTGTCTTCATGCACATTGCCTCTAGTGAAGTTCGCTTTGCCAACAGCTTCTTTTAGACCTTTCCCTTCTCTCCCACAACGAAGCTAGTTAAAATGCCTTATTTAATGTACCTCTAGTATTAGAATGGCAGAGTCATGTCACTTCCATTCAATTGGGGTATATTTTATAAACCCCAAAGTTGGTAAATTGGCTTTTTATTAAAAAGTTGAGGCCAGAAATTTAATGTAAACACAGCCTGGGGTCAGTGATTAGAAACTTGGGAGTTTCATCCTAAATGCTTTATTTTAGAATCTAAGAAAAATAATGTTACCATGTTTAAGACAGCAGGTATTGTTGATACACAGTGAATCTGTTCAACAAGAACTAGATTATGAGCATCTCCCCATGGCAGGGGATCAGACTTGATGATCTGCTCAGGTCGCTTCTGACCCTACCAGCTGTATGTTTCCAACTATATGTTTCATAAGGTGTACTCTTTTGCTCAGGTAAGTTAGAATGAGAGGTCAGCAGATTCCTGCAGAATCTCTTAGGACGCAATTTGGCTGCATACTATGCGAGAAGGAAATACATTAAATTGCCAGAAGTAGTCAATTAATGTCGGTCTTCAAGCCTCTGTTTATAGTGCTTGACTGAGATGGTTTAGTCGGGGGTGATTCTGCTTTGTATAGGGCACTAGTCCCTTCCAGCCCTGCTTTTCCGTGCTTTGCTTTGACTATTTTCCTTTCCTTTTATAAAATGCTGCTGTTTCAAAAAAACCTCCTAAAGGCTGTACCAAAATACACAAATGTATTTCTCCTATTGCAGTCCTTAGGGGCCTGGTGGTGAACCAGAGCCACGCGGCAAATGCAGAACACAAAGATGTTGCCTGCCCCAAATAAATTAGTCTGTATGATGTGTCCTTCAAAGTAAATTCATTAATAAGGCTGAAACTCTTGAGTGCTTGTGTAGAACAGCATATCCAGTATAAAACATCCCAGGTCACGTTTTGGGTCCTCTCCTTGCTGCAGTGTCTTCCATTATTCATTGACCCTTTTTACCATGAGTTTGTGTTATTCCTTGGTGCATGACATAGCCTCTCTTTAGTGGTGTGGTGACAACATAGGTCATGGAACCAGGGTGCCAAAGGATGGTATGGAATGTTTAGGTTGTTCCCAGGATTCATGTTAGCTGGGCTAGTATGCCCATCCTATTGTTTAGGCATGAAGGAAGATATCAATAAGAATTGGTTCTCAGGCTGCTAACAGCAGTAGAAGTGATATCCTCATTTCTGGGTAATATTACATTATCCTAGGTAGATTTAACTGAATACTGTATAAGGACCTTAGGTTTTCCAAAGTGTAAAATATTCTATCCTGTATCTGCCTTAGGTCTTCAGGATGTAAATTGAAGCGGTACTTAAATTATCCTCAGTACAGTGCCTTATCTGCGGGTTCATTTTTTGTCAGTCAGTAGCAGTGTGAAACTGGCCAACTTTTGCTCAATTTCACGGCTACTGTTCAGGAACCATAGGCAGTTGCTTTGGTGTATGTGGCCAACCTAAATGGAGGCAGATAATTATGCTATTTGCAGGAAGACAACCACTTGCAGGGAGAGTGGCTGCAGGAAAAGGTTGTAGAGACCCTCCTGTACTCATGAGGGAGATGGGGTGGCAAATAATAGCAGCTTTTTACCTATGGGGAAGAAAGAGGTTTAAATTTATCAGAAGTTGGAAAAGATTTAAATATGTAATCAGGCTTCAAGGAAGCATGCTGGTGAGAGATATGGTATGGTGTGGGCACTATGTTGGGAGTCATTTTTATAACCTCTAGTGCTTGCTTCATGGTGTAAGGTGCATTCCTGTCTTTACTGGGATCAGATGACAGATTTCTGGTGAGGAAAAAATCCTCCTCTAATCTTAAAAATAAAGAGTTAAATGCTTGTTCTCACAGGACAAGCTGATCTGATTTTTGCTAAATTCAGACCATATTTCTAAACAAATACATATGGAGTTTATACAAGCATTTACCACAACTGCTCTTGCATGGACAGTAATTCTGAATCGATTTATGGCCACCAGATTCTGAAAATTTGGGTCTTAGACTCCTTGATGTGAGAGTGCTTTTTTCTCTTATTGTCTTCTAATTGCCTTGCTTAGTTCATAATCAGAATGGTGGGGAGGAGGAGGGAGAATGGGGTGTTTAAAGATTATATAAGATTCACCCAACTGTTACGGTTAAGGGGAGCAGGGAGTTAATTTTTTGAAAGCTGTCACTTGGATTTGGGTTTCATCTCTGTGTTGCAGTTTAGCTTATGTTAAAAGCCCAGTGTTCACAGTAATAGTTAATACTCTGTCCCCTGCATCATACTGTAAAGCATGAATCTACATTGCTGATTCACAGCTGATCAGCCATTAATGGTTTTTCTGTTTCTTGCTGTGCTTGTTTAATTCCAGCAGGTCTTATTCCTATACAAGGAAGCATTTTTGCCAAGGCTTGCTCTGCACTGACCTGCACTATTGATGATAGTTGTCTACAAATGCAGAAGACCTATTTTGCACCCCAACCCTCAGACGGTTTCCCATCTCCTAAGGAACTGATCCTTCTTTGTCTTTTGAATGAAGCCTTTTTGAAGATTTTGGATTATAACTGCAAGTGAATCTATGCAAGGAAAGAAGAGCTAGTGTGGATATTTGTTTGAGGTATGTATATCTATTATAATGTACTCTTTAAAGAAAGTGGTATTTCCTGTCTGTTTAAAGAAAAGAAAATAAAGTAATGGCACTTGGCGGAGGGAGGGAGAAGTTGGTGTTGCTGCATTAGCTTCGCCTTGCCTTAGTTGAGCTGTTTTGATTTGACATGCAGTTGCCCTTAAATACAAATTGCTAAAATATAAAGAACACAGTAGAATAAATTAGTTGAATATGCATATGTTCAGTGGTGCATTACAGACACCAGAATATCAAAACGGCATTAGATGTGAGCTGACCTGATTTGAACCTGCTGTGGAAATGTTCAAAAGGTTCCTTTTAGAATAGTGAGTAACTTTGTACAGTGTAAACTGAGCCCTCTGTCCACATGTTCACTCCTCAGTAGCACTTAAAATTTTATAAAGCTTTTTATCTTCAAAGTATTTCGCTAACATTAGCTGAATTTCACAATCCTCTTGTGATGTAAGTGTCTGCATTTCTAATATATGGAGAAGATGGGGAGTTGGAGGAAATGGAAAGATTTGCTCAAAATCAGAAGGTGGCTATTAACAGTAGCTAAACCAGGACATCCCATTTCTCTGCTCTGGTCACGCATCTTGAAAACCATTGACCCAGGAGGAAAGTATATTGCACTTCATCCCAGGATTTTAAAATGTTCTGTGCTTGTTGGTGCATGATACCTTACAGTACCTTTTTGTGAGCTATGAAAATATATCCAACCTATAGAAATTTACAGCCTCAGTAACTGAGGTATAAAAGTCTAGAGCAGCTAGGACTCTTGTCCTTTGTGTTAACTGCAAGACTGCCTTCCCCATATAATGTGATATGAATATGAAAGTGTCCCGAATGTCCCAAGGACTAGAAAGCAGCAAGCTGTTTGTCTGACTACTTCCTGTCTTCGGGTCATATTTAGCTGAGTCTTTCTAATAGTAAAAAATGAAATTAAAAAAAAAATCAGACCTTGAAATGTGATATTGCTGCCATCCATTAGGGTTGTATCTTCAGGCCTTGAAGTAATTGTGTGCATTGATATTACCTACTGACATTTTTCCTTTATGATTTTTTATAAATGCTACCATCTCTTTATTTCCATCTTCAACTTTCGTCCTCTAGTGCTCGCACTAATGCTCACTGGAAGTGGCAGGCAGTTTCACTGTAGTGGAATTTAGCCAGACCAGTTCACTGTTCTGAAATTCTTAGCTTAAAAACCAACAAAGCTGATGCACTGAAGTGGTGTATAACTGACACCTACACCCAGTTTATGAGATGAGTGTTTGTACTGGCTGAATGCATATGGTGCAGCATACATAACCCCTGAAATTCAAAGGACAGGGGGAAGAGAAACTTTAGTGCAGGAAACCAACTCTACTGTTAGGTTACCCTCTGAGACAGTCACCACTTTCGGATTAGACTAGACCGGGGAAGGAAGTGGATTTCCTGACTCTCAAAATTTTTCAAGATTATTTTTTTAATGAAAGAAATAGAGACCTGTACACTTATCCAAAAATATCCAGTAACCCCATGGCTGGGCCGTTGCCAGAAATGGGAAGACCATGGCTCATGTCTTTGCTTATACAAGAAAATACATAATCTTTTGCCAGAGTAGGGACTCAAACTGTGGTCTTCCACATCCCAGGTGAGTGCCCTGACCCCTGTGCTCTTGGCTGTTCTGCGGTGAATGAGGGTGTCTGAATTTTGGCTAAAGAAATCAGGGCTCGTAGACAGAGGTGATGTCTTTTATTAGACCAACAAAATTTTTGCAAAATAATTTCTTTAATGCAAGCTTTTTGGCTTGAAATTGATTTTTGGCTAAAACTTCAGCCCATATTAAAATAACTGGGTACCCACAGAAGTATTTGGTTCTGATGAATTGGCATTTTCTGTAAGAAGAAAAACTTATTTCATTGCAGAACTTCTGCCTTGCTGTGCCTCGGAGCACGTCGGGAGACCTAGATTCTATTCCTGTCCCTGTCCAAGACAAGTGTGTGATCTTAAGCAAGTCACCTAACCTTATTTTACAGTTGAGATAACCCAAGCACAAAATGTGATTTGCAATCCTTCATAAACACTAAACAATTCTCTGAAAGGTGTTATTTAAATACTGCTTTGCTTTATCTTCAGTACTCGGGATTGTGCTGTAAATAAGCTTGAATATTAAAGAAGTTTGCAGTTGAAGTTAATTAGGGGCTAAAAGTGACCTTTTTTGCTTGCGATAAAAGATAGTCTGAGAGATGACTTTGTATGGTATGTCTGGAGGGAACAGCGTATCAAAAAGAAGATTTCCTTACTGGTTAGATAGTGTCTCTCTCTTGAAGGAAAAAGAAAAAATACTTTCCAATTATGGGGCTGAGAAGTGTGGCATGAGTGATGTATTGACATGGGTTATAGTCATGTGAGCAGATGTCATGAGACAACAGTATGATTATTTCAGCAGGATTATGAGAGTGTTAAAATGCAGCACTTCTTGGTTATGAATTTGTTTGGTCCCATTTTCTTTATTAGTCTCTTAATCTTACTTCATTGTCATGTTCTTGAAGCAGTGGACCCCCAACAATATTATAATGGTTGGGAACATTAAAAGTCTGAGTCTTTACTGTTTTTAACAGATAAAGCCTCCCATATAGAAATGTTAAAGCAATTTATGACCAAAGCTGGGGCATTCTTGGAAAGTAAGCAATTTGTTTTCTTAACTATAAGAAAAAGTGGTTACAATTGCACTATACAACAAGACCGAGGTGGAACAGTGACTAAAATGTAAGTGTCTTGACTCCCAGCCTTTGTCTCTGACAACTAGACTGCACTGAGTAGTTGGGCAGATAGTGTGTATGTATGTATGTGCCTGTGTGTCCAAAACGTAAAAATGTTTTTTCTGCCTTAACTTCAAGAACTACTATGTGAGCCTAGTCTAAGTCAGTTAACCAATATGTTTTCAGGACCAGTTTTTGTTTCTGCTGCAGCTAAAAGGATACCATTTTCAATCACCTGTCAACTCTTATAGGTTTTTTTTGCTCAATTAAGGGTGCCCCAGAGCTCCTCTTCCTGGTAGTTGCCACTGTCATTAAAAATAGATGAATTCTTCACTACTTAAAACTTTATGCTTCACTGGCTATTGATTGATCCTCCAGTCCTGCGAATGTGGTTCTTTCACTAATGTACTCAAAATGTGTGCTGTATATCATCTTGCAAGTCTTCCTCTAAGGGGAGGCTACAAATTGTAAGTTAAGAAACTTGTTGCCTCTTTGTTACTCTTTCTGTTGCAAAATTTCTTTTAAAAATGATGGTACAGTATTATGTGTAGACCTTAAGTGGATACATGCAATTATTCAGATAAGCTTTTTTTAAATTTATGATTCAGTAACAAAGAGTGATGGTCATATTATGGGCATGTAGTTTGGCTCCCCCCCATGTTTCTTCAACTAATGCTTGTATATAGTCATTGTTTTATTTGCTAAAGTCTCACTTTTTACCTGCATGATAAAGTGTCTCTCCAATTTTTTATTTTAAGCTAGCTTGAGATCATCACTTTGTCCAGAGAAAGTTTGAGCTGTCATTTTGTATGTTTGTGTTGATGAAGTATTTTTTTGTGTTGATTCAAATTAGGGGTGGCTGCATTTAGGTAGACAAAATTTTTATAATGATGATAAGCTTTGGCCAGATTTGCTAACTGAGATTGTTAAAGGTGTCTAAAGGACACCAGCTGCTTCCTAAGATTTAATGCACCTTAAGCTTGCTAAAAAAATTAACATAATTGCTAACAATTCAAGTGAGGCCAGACTGCCAGCATCCTTCAAATGAGTAGCTGATAAGCCTTGCTCAAGAAATAGCGAAATCACCAATCAGAGACTATTTGTGGTGCCCTTTTTGTTTTTTCCTTTTTTAGCAACATTATTGAGGAGATGGGGTGACAAGAGACAATAGCTCAAAAGTTTTCTATTCATCCCCCCCCCTTTTGTTATAACAAATATTTTGGGGATCCCTTCCTTTATGAAAATAATGGTCATGTCTCCTGACCATTGAGTCCCATTGAGAATGTTAACCTCAAAGATAAAAGCCACGCATTAGCAATGTCTGGAGGCCTCTTGAGTTCCTTCAGTAATTTTCAAGCGTTGGTGTTGAGCTGGAAATCTAGTTTCCTTCATTTCCCATCAGTAGAGCTTAGTTGTCAGTGCTGTATTCTTCCACTGATAAGTTTCACTATTAGTCTTTGCTACATCAGTATTTCTGATGTGGTTTTTGCTCAGCAAGATAAATTTGCTTGTGTGAAGTTCTTTACTGTCATAGCTGGACAGATTTTATAATACCTGAGCTAACTCGGGTATCTTTATACCACAATGCAGTCTTCATTGTAGAGCTGCCATCAGAAATACCATGGGTGGTATTGAGTAACTGCTCTTCCCAATTCTATAGCACTGGTTCACCTCCTGGATTTGTTTTTTGTGTATTTGTTATGTATTTGAGTACATAGTTTCACAGTAGCTAGGGTCAGGAGGGACATGAACAGATCATCTAGCCTGACCCCCTGCCACAGGCAGGAATGAATGCTGGGTTCACAAGACCCCAGACAGGTGATCATCCAACCTCCTCTTGAATTTGCCCAAGGTAGGGGCGAGGACCACTTCCCTGGAAAGTTGGTTCCAGATTTTGGCCACCTTAACTGTTAAAAATTGCCTTCTGATCTCTAACCTAAACCTATTCTCCATCAGCTTATTACCATTGTTCCTCATCACCCCAGGTGGTGCTGGGGAGAAAAGGGCTCTACCTATTTGCAGTTGATCTCCCCTGATGAGTTTGTAGGCAGCCACCAGGTGCCCCCTCAGCCTCCTCTTGCTGAGGCTGAACAGGTTCAGGTCCCTCAGTCTCTCCTCATAGGGCCTGTTCTGCTGCCCTCTCACCAAGCGGGTGGCCCTCCTCTGAACCCTCTCCAGGCTGGCCACATCCCTATCTACATAACAATTCTAAACCTTTTCTATGTGACTTAGTGTACAGTTTCA